ACTCATATCAGATAAAATAGACTTTCAAATAAAGACTGTGAAAAGAGACAAAGATGGACACTACATAATGATCAAAGGATCAATCCAAGAAGAAGATATAACAATTATAAATATATATGCACCCAACATAGGAGCACCGCAATATGTAAGGCAAACGCTAACGAGTATGAAAGAGGAAATTAATAGTAACACAATAATAGTAGGAGACTTTAATACCCCACTCACAACTATGGATAGATCAACTAAACAGAAAATGAACAAGGAAGCACAAACTTTAAAGGACACAATGGACCAGCTAGACCTAATTGACATCTATAGGACGTTTCACCCCAAAACAATCAACTTCACCTTTTTCTCAAGTGCACACGGAACCTTCTCCAGAATAGATCACATCCTGGGCCATAAATCTAGTCTTGGTAAATTCAAAAAGACTGAAATCATTCCAGTCATCTTTTCTGACCACAGTGCAGTAAGATTAGATCTTAATTACAGGAAAAAAATTATTAAAAATTCAAACATATGGAGGCTAAACAACACGCTTCTGAATAACCAACAAATCATAGAAGAAATCAAAATATGCATAGAAATGAATGAAAATAAAAACACAACAACCCAAAACCTATGGGACACTGTAAAGGCAGTGCTAAGGGGAAGATTCATAGCATTACAGGCCTACCTCAAGAAACAAGAAAAAAGTCAAATAAATAACCTAACTCTACACCTAAAGCAACTAGAGGAGGAAGAAATGAAGAACCCCAGGGTTAGTAGAAGGAAAGAAATCTTAAAAATCAGGGCAGAAATAAATGCAAAAGAAACTAAAGAGAGCATAGCAAAAATTAACAAAGCTAAAAGCTGGTTTTTTGAAAAAATAAACAAAATTGACAAACCATTAGCAAGACTCATTAAGAAACAAAGGGAGAAGAACCAAATTAACAAAATTAGAAACGAAAATGGAGAGATCACAACAGACAACACTGAAATACAAAGGATCATAAGAGACTACTACCAGCAGCTCTATGCCAATAAAATGGACAACTTGGAAGAAATGGACAAGTTCTTAGAGAAGTATAACTTTCCAAAACTGAACCAGGAAGAAATAGAAGATCTTAACAAACCCATCACAAGCAAGGAAATCGAAACTGTAATCAGAAATCTTCCAGCAAACAAAAGCCCAGGACCAGATGGCTTCGCAGCTGAATTCTACCAAAAATTTAGAGAAGAGCTAACACCTATCTTACTCAAACTCTTCCAGAAAATTGCAGAAGAAGGTAAACTTCCAAACTCATTCTATGAGGCCACCATCACCCTAATTCCAAAACCAGACAAAGATGCCACAAAAAAAGAAAACTACAGGCCAATATCACTGATGAACATAGATGCAAAAACCCTTAACAAAATTCTAGCAAACAGAATCCAACAACATATTAAAAAAATCATACATCATGACCAAGTGGGCTTTATCCCAGGAATGCAAGGATTCTTTAATATCCGCAAATCAATCAATGTAATACACCACATTAACAAATTGAAAGATAAAAACCATATGATTATCTCAATAGATGCAGAAAAAGCCTTTGATAAAATTCAACATCCATTTATGATTAAAACTCTCCAGAAAGCAGGAATAGAAGGAACATACCTCAACATAATAAAAGCTATATATAACAAACCCACAGCAAGCATCACCCTCAATGGTGAAAAACTGAAAGCATTTCCCCTGAAATCAGGAACAAGACAAGGGTGCCCACTCTCACCACTACTATTCAACATAGTTTTGGAAGTTTTGGCCACAGCAATCAGAGCAGAAAAAGAAGTAAAAGGAATCCAGATAGGAAAAGAAGAAGTGAAACTCTCGCTGTTTGCAGATGACGTGATCCTCTACATAGAAAATCCTAAAGACTCTACCAGAAAATTACTAGAGCTAATCAACGAATACAGTAAAGTTGCAGGATATAAAATTAATACACAGAAATCTCTTGCATTCCTATACACTAACAATGAGAAAACAGAAAGAGAAATTAAGGAAACAATACCATTCACCATTGCAACAAAAAGAATAAAATACTTAGGAGTATATCTACCTAAAGAAACAAAAGACCTATACATAGAAAACTATAAAACACTGATGAAAGAAATCAAAGAGGACACAAACAGATGAAGAAATATACCGTGTTCATGGATTGGAAGAATCAATATTGTCAAAATGGCTATACTACCCAAAGCAATCTACAGATTCAATGCAATCCCTATCAAACTACCAACGGTATTTTTCACAGAACTAGAACGAATAATTTCACAATTTGTATGGAAATACAAAAAACCTCGAATAGCCAAAGTAATCCTGAGAAAGAAGAATGGAACTGGAGGAATCAATCTGCCTGACTTCAGACTATATTACAAAGCCACAGTCATCAAGACAGTATGGTACTGGCACAAAGACAGAAATATAGATCAGTGGAACAGAATAGAAAGCCCAGAGATAAATCCACGAACCTATGGTCACCTTATCTTTGACAAAGGAGGCAAGGATATACAATGGAAAAAAGACAACCTCTTTAACAAGTGGTGCTGGGAAAACTGGTCAACCACCTGTAAAAGAATGAAACTAGAACACTTTCTAACACCATACACAAAAATAAACTCAAGATGGATTAAAGATCTAAATGTAAGACCAGAAACTATAAAACTCCTAGAGGAGAACATAGGCAAAACACTCTCCGACATAAATCACAGCAGGATCCTCTATGACCCACATCCCAGAATTTTAGAAATAAAAGCAAAAATAAACAAATGGGACCTAATGAAACTTAAAAGCTTTTGCACAACAAAGGAAACTATAAGCAAGGTGAAAAGACAGCCCTCAGATTGGGAGAAAATAATAGCAAACGAAGCAACAGACAAAGGATTAATCTCAAAAATATACAAGCAACTCCTCCAGCTCAACTCCAGAAAAATAAATGACCCAATCAAAAAATGGGCCAAAGAACTGAACAGACATTTCTCCAAGGAAGACATACAGATGGCTAACAAACACATGAAAAGATGCTCAACATCACTCATTATCAGAGAAATGCAAATCAAAACCACAATGAGGTACCATTACACACCAGTCAGGATGGCTGCTATCCAAAAGTCTACAAGCAATAAATGCTGGAGAGGGTGTGGAGAAAAGGGAACCCTCTTACACTGTTGGTGGGAATGCAAATTAGTACAGCCACTATGGAAAACAGTGTGGAGATTTCTTAAAAAGCTGGAAATAGAACTGCCATATGACCCAGCAATCCCACTTCTGGGCATACACACCGAGGAAACCAGATCTGAAAGAGACACGTGTACCCCAATGTTCATCGCAGCACTGTTTATAATAGCCAGGACATGGAAGCAACCTAGATGCCCATCAGCAGACGAATGGATGAGGAAGCTGTGGTACATATACACCATGGAATATTACTCAGCCATTAAAAAGAATTCATTTGAATCAGTTCTAATGAGATGGATGAAACTGGAGCCCATTATACAGAGCGAAGTAAGCCAGAAAGATAAAGACCATTACAGTATACTAACACATATATATGGAATTTAGAAAGATGGTAACGATAACCCTATGTGCAAAACAGAAAAAGAGACTCCTATGTATAGAACAGACTTGTGGACTCTGGGAGAAGGCGAGGGTGGGATGTTTCAAGAGAACAGCATTGAAACACGTATATTATCTAGGGTGAAACAGTTCACCAGCCCAGGTTGGGTGCATGAGACAAGTGCTCGGGCCTGGTGCACTGGGAAGACCCAGAGGGACTGGGTGGAGAGGGAGGTGGGAGGGGGGACCGGGATGGGGAATACATGTAAAAAAAAAAAAAAAAAAGATACACTATGGTTGTGATTAAAAAAAAATAAATAAAGAAAGAAAGAAAGAAAAAAAAAAAGAAATTAAATGAATCCATAAATAAATACTTCCTTCAAAAATTGTTACGGAAACACTTCTTTGAATGAGGCATTGTGCTAGGTATTGGAGATATGAGGAATAAAATACAGTCCCTTGTCCTTGAGTAGTTTCTATAATAGAGGAGATTATTGTTTCAATGAGAAGTCTATACGAGGTCACTGAGATTCAAGAAAAAAGATCACTCTCATCTATCTACATGAGATGCAAACATAAAAACATTGTTCTAAAAAAGTATGAAGACGGAAATGTAAACATACTATAAACACATAACTAAGCAGTCCTCTTTGGGGCGGGCCATGTCCTCTGTGAAACTAGTAGGTCTGTTTCCGAGAGCCACAATACAGGGCCTTCTCTTAACATACAGAGAGAGCCAAATGAGAGAAAACATGTTATTTTCATAATGCTTTCTTCTGGTATAGAAATAAGAAAATCAAAGAAATTGGACTAGATATAATATTTGATTTCCTTTATTTGTAAGCTGAAATTATTTCAACAAGTTTTATGCTTGTTAAACATTTGCTTGATATACTGGGTTGACCAAAAAGTTCGTTTTTCTGTACCCGAACAAACTTTTTGGTCAACTCAATATATTAACAACATTTTTTTTTAATTAACACTTTTTTTAAAAAAGAATCTATTACCAACAGGAATACGATTTTAGAGGTGGTTTTTTTTTCTTTTAATGGATAAAAGGCTATTTAAAGGGTAAATTCAAAATGAAAAATGCTATTATAATGAAAAATATCTTAGATGTACACATGTTACCACCCCAGGTTGGATGCATGAGACAAGTGCTCAGGGCTGGTGCACTGGGAAGACCCAGAGGGATGGGATGGAGAGGGAGGCAGGAGGGGAGATTGGGATGGTGAACACATGTAAATCCATGGCTGATTCATGTCAATGTATGGCAAAAAACACTACAATACTGTAAAGTAATTAGCCTCCAACTAATAAAAATAAATGGAGGAAAAAAGTACACATGTTCATTCATTTATTCACTAAGTCAACCAAAATTGATTACCTGCTATGTGCCAGATACTGTACATATGAAACATACCTTTGATTTATGTGCTTGATGAACAATCTTCAGTTTATCTGCAAGAAAAAAAACAAGTTGTCTTTTTACTAAAATTATTCTAAAGCTTCATTTCAAACTTATCGAAGTGAGATTAAAAGGCTTCCCTGGTGGCACTAGTGGTAAAGGATCTACCAATGAAGGAGACACAAGAGATGAGAGTTCGATCCCTGGGTCGGGAAGATCCCCTGGAGAAGGAAATGACACCGTCTCCAGTATCCTCACCTGGAAAATCCCACGGACAGAGGGGCCTGGTGGGCTGCAACCCATGGGGTCACAAAGTCAGACACAAGTGAGCGCACACATACACAAGGTGAGATGAGGTCTGTGGTGAGAAGGGGAGGGTGGCAGCTAAGCAAGTGAGAAATCTGGGTCCCTGCCTTATGATCAAGTTCACTTAAAAATCTAACATGCAGTAAAAGAAATATTACATTTGCATATCATTAAAATTAAAGATCACTGTATAAAATATTTTAAAGCCCTGGACGATGAGGAGCGAAAGAGGAGAGTGAAAAAGTTGGCTTAAAGCTCAACATTCAGAAAACTAAGATGATGGCATCTGGTCCCATCACTTCATGGCAAGTAGATGGGGAAACAGTGGAAACAGTGGCTGACTTTACTTTTCTGGGCTCCCAAATCACTGCAGATGGTGACTGCAGCCATGGAATTAAAAGACACTTACTCCTTGGAAGGAAAGTTATGACCAACCTAGACAGCATATTAAAAAGCACAGACATTACTTTGTCAACAAAGGTCCGTCTAGTCAAGGCTATGGTTTTTCCACTGGTCATGTATGGATGTGACAGTTGGACTATAAAGCAAGCTGAGTGCCAAAGAATTGATGCTTTTGAACTGTGGTGTTGGAGAAGACTCTTGAGAGTCCCTTGAACTGCAAGGAGATCCAACCAGTCCATCCTAAAGGAGATAAGTCCTGGGTGTTCATTGGAAGGGCTGATGTTGAAGCTGAAAAGAAACTCCAATACCTTGGCCACCTGATGTGAAGAGCAGACTCATTTGAAAAGACCCTGATGCTGGGAAAGATTGAGGGCGGGAGGAGAAGGGGATGACAAAGGATGAAATGGTTGGATGGCATCACCAACTCAATGGACATGGGTTTGGCTGGACTCCAGGAGCTGGTGATCGACAAGGAGGCCTGGCGTGCTGTGGTTCATGGGGTCGCAGAGTCAGACATGACTGAGAGACTGAACTGAACTTTGACAAATACAACTGTGTTTGTACCATAACCTGTAGTCAACTCAGCCCTTAGAAGACAGCTGAATGACATAACTCTATCTTGTTTGTTAGAGTCCCTAAATGCTAAGATTAGCAAATAAGGTTTTTTAAAAAGTCTGTCTTTGTTAATGTCTACTACTACTATTTTTCTACTAATCTCCCAGAAGAGATTCAGTGACAGGAGGTCAAATGATCATAGCAACAAGTTGCTACCACTCTCAGAATATAACACCATCAAGGATGCACTGGTAATCTGATCAAGGCTGCTAATACCCAAAGACTACCAATATCTGTCTCCTGGTTTTCAAATACTACATAGGCTCACACCACTTAATCTGCTTTATTCAATCTCTCCTTCACTCCTTAATCTGTTTATCTTGAAGTCAGGCTACACTGTGTTTTTCCAGTAAGTAGTTTCTCTACATTGGGTATTTCTAACTGGGCAATAATCAGTTCTTAATTATAAAACAGACATAGCATTCAACAGGTTTAAATTCAGAAAGTTTCTAGTTCTCCACTCAGTTTGACCTATCCATTTAATTAATTTACTATAGTTACACATATTATTATATCTGAATAAACTCTTAACCTTAAGCTAAAATTCATTTCTATCAATCATGCTATTTGATTCAACAAGGAATTTCAGTGAAATGAAAGACTCTGTTAAAGAAAAAAAAACCTTGATTTAACTATGTTCTAATAATAAAGAAAAATTAGGGTACCTATTTAGTTAAGAACAGGCACTCTGAAATGCTCATTATTTTAAATAGTAAACTTTCACTTGCCTATTACAATTTTTAATATAAGGTCAGCCTTATAAAAATCAATCTAACCTAAGCAAAATATACACATTTAGGATATAAAATAGGTCACAATGGCTAAAAATAAGCTTACAATGTACACAAGAAAATAAACAGATGTGACTTTTGAATTATCTATTATACTGAGTTACCTATTCTTTTTCTCACTATAAATATATATTGTTTGTTACTAGAGACAAGTTAGAGAAGCCAATAGTAGTTGCTTTTTTTTTTTAAACAAAAGGACCTTGATTAAAGTCTGTTACAATCGACCTGCAAAATTGCAGACTGACCTCTCCAAGTGTCATCATGTTCTATGTATTTTGCTAATAACTCTTTAAGTTAGAAATATATTTGCTCTGATATGCTCTGCAACCCCAGAATAAGGAAGCAATGTTTTCTTTAGCAGAAAAAGAAATGGTTTGAACATAAATTTTCACCAGATTTTTCTCTCCAACAGAAATTGGTAAGAATTGGGAAGAAAATAAATGCCCCTTTCTCTGTTAAATCATCTTTTTCACTTGTTTTTACTTCTTAAAAAAAATTTTTTTTAAAATTATTAACAGAAACAACTTCTGCTGGTATTGTTTCCTTAGTACAGATTTCTTGAGGAAAACAACCTCATAAAGACAAAAACAAGATTTACATTTTCAGAGTATTTAATGTGTTCACAGTGTTTACTGTAATCTCACAGAGCCTTAGAAACAAACAGAATTAGCAGCCTCACATTGCACAACAAACATTCACTGCGCACATCGGTGTGTGCTTTAGGAACACACCGTGGGGCCAGGGTAAATCAGTAACAGATGCAGATGCCAACTGAATGGGAGGCAGGGCTCTGAGAAATCTCTGACTTGGCAGCCTGGCAGAGAGACTGGACCCCTGCCCAAGGGCACAGAGATGGCAACCATCTGACTCTGTGCCCCTTCCACTCCCAACACCCAGTGCGTTCAGGCCGACAGAGAGTGCAGCAATATTGCAGGACAAGGAGAGGTGAGCAAGGAGCACTTCAGCGTTTCTTGTCGAAAACAAAGCGGCAGACTGTTAAAGGGCCAAACACAGACACTTGAATTCTACCAAAACCATGGTGCTTCTCTAATTTCTTCACAGGCAAATGTGTTCGTTTTTCCTGCCAATTCAGCTGAGTAGGATAGAAATAATAGGACAAGTGGATGTTAATAAGGTGGACTAATAAGAAAGATACATTATCTACCACCATGGTAAAAGAAAAAGGAACAAGGAAAAAGTACAAAATCAACTGCAAAACAAGGTTTAAATGGCAATAAAAACATATCTGGCAATAATTACCTTAATTATCAATTAACTAAATGCTCCAATCAAAAGACTTAAGAGTGACAGACTGGATAGTAAAACAACAGCTTACAATATGTTGCCTACAAGAGACCCACTTTAGGGTGAAAGGACACACATACATTGAAAGTGAGGGGACAGGAAAGATTCATGTATAGAGCTATAAAAGACCACAACTGCCAGAGCACTCCTGAGGAAAAAAAACAAAACGGGAGGCAAACCCTCCCAGACTTCGGGAAGGAGTCAATTGATGCTCTAACAGTAACAATACTACAAAGCTACAGTGATCCAAACAGCGTGGTATTGGGGCAAAAACAGACATATAGATCAATGGAACATAACAGAGAGCCCAGAAATAAAACCACACATACAGTCAATTAATCTTTGACAAAGTGGCAACAACGTAAAAGGGGAAAAAGTCTCTTTAGCAAGTGATTCTGCCACATATAGATCAGTAAAGTCAAAACACATCCATACAACATGCACAAAAATAAACTCAAAATGGCTTAAAGACATAAACCTAAGACAATACACCATGATACTCCTAGAAGAGAACACAGACAAAACATTTTCTGACACAAATCACACCAGTATTTTCTGAGGTCAGTCTCCCAAGTTCAGTTCAGTCGCTCAGTCACATCTGACTCTTGGCGACCCCACGGACTGCAGCACGCCAGGCTTTCCTGTCCATCACTAACTCCCAGAGCTTGCTCAAACTCATATCCATCAGTTGGTGACGCCATCCAACCATCCCATCCTGTCATCCCCTTCTCCTCCTACCCTCAATCTTTCCCAGCATCAGGGTCTTTTCCAATGAGTCAGCTCTTCACCTCAAGTGGCCAAAATATTGGAGCTTCAACTTCAGCATCATTCCTTCCAGTGAATATTTAGGGTTGATTTTCTTTAGGATTGACTGGTTTGATCTCCTTGAAGTCCAAAGGATTCTCAAGAGCCTTCTCCAACACTACAGTTCAAAAGCATCGATTCTTCAGCACTCAGCCTTCTTTATGGTCCAGCTCTCACATCCGTACATGACTACTGGAAAAACCATAGCTTTGACTAGACAGGGCTTTGTCAGCAAAGTAATGTCTCTGCTTTATAATACGCTGTCTAGGTTTGTCATACCTTTTCTTTGAAGGAGCAAGCATCTTTTAATTTCATGGCTGCCATCTACAGTGATTTTGGGGCCCAAGAAAACAAAGTCTCTCAGTGTTTCCATTGTTTCCCCATCTATTTGCCATGAAGTGATGGGATCAGATGCCATGATCTTTGTTTTTTGAATGTTTAGTTTTAAGCTAGATTTTTCCCTCTCCTCTTTCACCATCAAGAGGCTCTTGACGTCCTCTTCACTTTCTGCCATAAGGGTGGTGTCATCTGTATATCTGAGGTTATTGACATTTCTCCAGGCAATCTTGGGTTTTGTAGATGCAAAAATTACATATAGAATGGATGGACAACAAGGTCCTATTGTATAGCACAGGAAATTATATTCAATGTCCTGGAATAAATCATAATGAAAAAGAATACACACACACACACACACACATACATACATACATATATATGAGTCACTTTGTTGTATAACAGAAATTATAAATTAAGTATAATTCAATTAAAAAATAAATAAAACAAAAAAAGATTTTTAAAGATATTTTGTGCAAACAAAAAGGATAAGAAAGCAGGGGTGGCAAAATACTCATGTCAGACAAAACAGACTTTTAACAAAGGCCATAAAGAAAGACTATAAAATGATAAAAGAATCAATACAAGAAGATACTCCACCCATTAACAAAGTAATATATGTACCCAACATCACACTTAAATATACAAATACCAACAAAGGGAAAAATTGAAGGAATACATTATTTACCATCATGATGATTAGCAGCCAGATATTTTGATAATTTCATTACCTTAAACTTATCTTTCAAAATAACTTCCATGGAACGCAAGCTTGAATACACATCCACAGCATGCAAAAAGGAAACCCACATGTAACTATGCTAATTTGAAGTGGCATCTGTAGGCAGATTCAAGTTTAAGGTTGTATTTCAAGGCTTGACACTTTGAAAGACAGAACTAAAAAGTTTCATATTTACTTAATCATGCTTTTTATTCCTTTCTCTTATTCAGTATTTAGTATGTAAATCCTTTAAGCCCAATAAACCAAAGTACTTTCGACTCAGTGCCTTTAACTTCTGCTTGACTGCCCCTGTGCCCTCACAGTTAGTCTCTGGATATTAAAATGCATGCACACGGTGAAGACTGTGATTTCAAAGTATTTTATGTCAAAAGTTGCTCTACCAAATGGCAGCAGAATTAAAAAACACTCCAGAAATGATCTAGGGTAATTAAAAATTTATGCTTTAAAATGTCTGCACCAATTAACAGAAATATTTATTAGGTGCATCGTAATTCTCAAGTGAAGTCTCAAATCCAAAGTTTGGTGAGTGTCACTATCCTGAAGGTTAATAACTGTACCATCTTTATAATGAATAATGAAACCTAGCTTCTTGACTTATTACTACATTTTAAAATCAATGATTGCAACATATAAAATTACTATGTAACATGCTCAAGTTGTTCTTGTTGTTGTTTATTCGCTAAGTAGAATCCGACTCTTTTTCAACCCTACGGACTACTGCCCACCAGGCTCCTCCGTCCATGAGATTTCCCAGGCAAGAATACTAGTGTAGGTTGCCATTTCCTTCTCCGGGGGATCTTCCTGACCCAAGGATTGAACCTGCCTCTCCTGCATTGGCTGGAGAAGGCAATGGCCAATCCCCTTCAGTACTCTTACCCGGAAAATCCCATGGATGGAGGAGCCTAGTAGGCTGCAGTCCATGGGGTCGCGAAGAGTTGGACACGACTGAGCGACTTCACTTTCACTTTCATTTTCATGCATTGGAGAAGGACATGGCAACCCATTCCAGCGTTCTTGCCTGGAGAATCCCAGGGACGGAGGAGCCTGGTGGGCTGCCGTCTATGGGGTCTCACAGAGTCGGACACGACTGAAGCGACTTAGCAGCAGCAGCAGCAGCTCCTACGTTGGCAGGTAAATTCTTTACCACTGGGGCACCAGGGAAGCCAACATACTCAAGTTATTGACATCTAAAATGTTAAATCCCTTCTTTTAATTCCTAGTCTTTCATCATTTCTCCTTTATCTGATTACCTGACAAAGAAATTCACTTCAGTTTTCCAAACATGCTATTCCTCATAAATACGTAACTTGATGACACAAGTAGCATATACTTTAATGATATACCAGAAGTCCTATATTTTTAAATAACTTCCATATTGGTTTTTATATACAGATTGCAAACTCATTTTTGAAAACCAAATTTAAATTCATTTCAAAATAAAACTAATGTGAAATTATATGTTTTAAAAGAATAAGAAAAATTGGTTACCATATTTATAATTTCTGAATGGTGGTGGAAGGCTGGTCCTCAAAGGGATATCTGTAAGATAAAAAGTATTTTTATTATAAAATATTCAAATAGTCACAGTATTAAGAGAATTGGCATTTTATTATACAATAGCATCTACATACACTTGAAATATATAGTACATATGTGTGAAACATTATTATATAGTAGATGTTCATTTAGCATATGAATCTGAGAATCTCTTGGGGTCAGTAGTAGAAACCAATGATCTAGAACAATCTTATCACTCTTACCAAAGTTCATATAACCTATAATGTAGCTACGCTAACTCAGCAAAGAAAACAGTAAAATTTTTTTAAAACAGTGTTTTCAAACACTTGTATTAGTTTTAATTAATAATTAATTAAACTACTACCCTTACAGAGGGAAATTAAGTAACATATATCTAAATTACATATGCATTGACCTAACAATTCCACTTGGAGAATTTACCATAGAAATATACTTTGCACACTCGTGTGTGTGTGTGTGTGTGTGTGTGTATGAAATGACTTAAAACAAAGCTAAAACTGTAGCACTGTTTGCAATAGCAAATGCCTGGGAAAATCCGAGTGTCTTTCAATGAGGGGACTTCCTAAGTAAACTATAATATGTCCAAACAATTAAACATATTTTTCAACAACCAGTAAAACAACCAAAAAAGAAGGAGAAGCTCTTTACTAATATGGTAAGATCTTCAAGATATGTCAAGAGTAAAGGAAGCAGATTTTCCTGGGGGTCCAAGTGGGTTAAGAATCTGCCTGCCAGTGCAGAGAACATGGGTCCCATCCCTGGTCCAGAAGATCCCACATGCCACAGAGCAACCAAGCCTGTGCGCCACAACTAATAAACCCACGCTCGAGCGTGGTGCTCCTTAACAAGAGAAGCCAGCACAGTGGAAGTCTGCGCACAGCAACCAGAAAGTAGCCCCCACGTGCCGCAGCTAGAGAAAGCCTGTGCGCAGCAACAAAGACCAAATACAGCCAAAAATTAAATAAATTTAAAAAAATTTTTTTAAAAAGCAAAGGAGGCATAAGGCAGAGCATTATTTTTAGTACACTACCTTTTGAAAAAAAGAGAGGAAAAATAAGAATATGTGTTTGCTTTTGTTTACACTTCCATGGGAGAGAGCATGATACACTGGTCAGATAAAGAACAGAAGTGGGAAGGAGACTTTTCACTGTATTCCTTTTTACACGTTCATCTTAAAAACCACAGGAATGTGTTACCAAAGAAAACTTTTTTTAAAACCTACACATATGAATTAGGAAAAGTGCTTAAGTACATTTAACCTTTTAAAGGTCAGTGAAAAAGTGTTAGTTGCTAAGTTATGTCCGACTCCTTTGCAACCCCATGGACTGTAGCCTACCAAGCTGCAGTGTCCATGGAATTCTCCAGGCAAGAATACTGGAGTCGGTAGCCATTCCCTTCTCCAGGGCATCTTCCCGACCCAGAGATTAAACCCACATCTCTTGCACTGCAGGCAGATTCTCTACCACTGAGTCACCAGGAAAGCCCAAATTTTAAAGCCCAAATAAATACCAAAATTAAAATATGATTTAGTCATTTATGTTACAAGCATTTAAAGTACCCACTACCAAGTATTCCAAGGACAGGGCAAATAAGAAGTTGCTGAGACAAGTCCCCATTCTTGAGAGGGTACCCTCCCTGTGAATCCTTTAACAAAGGTGTGTTCACAGTTAGGGCTTTGATCTCATCTGCCACATGCCAGAATCTCCCAGCCCCACACCCGTAGATCATACTCACGGCCGGCCAGTCCCAAGCATATTTAGACCCAAAATGAAAACCTGCTGAGATGATTCTTAGACAAACAAGCACAGGAGGCCGGCCAGACTACAGGACTGAGTGAGGCCGGGCGATCAGCAGGGGCCGAGAGGTACGAGCAGGCGTCCCATTGAAGGCGGTGCAGTCCCCTCACTCTAACTGGTCACCCAAAGACTTAAATGGGAACACTAAGTCTGGGGTGCGGTGGGGGGTTGGGTGGATTGTACTGACTTTTAAAATACTGTAGGCAGGGACTTCCCTGGTGATCCAGTGGTTAAGAATTCGCCTTCCAATGCAGGGGACACAGGTTCGGTTCCTGATTGGGGAACTAAGATCCCCACATTGGTGGTGGTTGAGTCCCTCAGTCATATCCTACTCTTGCGACCCCATGGACTGTATCCTGCCAGGCTCTTCTCTCCATGGGATTTCCCAGGCAAGACATGCCATAGGGCAACAAGCCCACGTGCCACAACGAAGATCCTACACGCAGCAACAAAGACCCTATGCAGCCAAAAAAAAAAAAAAAAAAAATGCTGTAGGCCAAAGGAAACCTGTCTGTGGAGTCCACATTCACCCGCCCAACCTCCATCTGAAACCTGTGTTTTAGCCTCAGCAAAGACAGAACTTCACTTTATCTTTTGCTTCTCACTTTTGAATTATAGGTCAAAGAAGTATTAACTAAATATCAGAAAGAAGAATTCAATCTGTTTAATTTATTGCCATTCGTTATTTCCTAAACTAGACAGCAAAACTCCCTGAAGAAAGGACTAAGGTACAGTGCCACGAAACTATTCTCATTTAGAGATGTCTACAGTCAAGACACCGAATCACCGCCTTACCTTCAGTCTAGGCTTCTGAGAGAAGAGACTATGACAGAGATGAAAGGAGCCCGTTTTTCCCTTCTTTCTGTGGATCTCAGCTCAGCTGTCACCTCCACAAAGAGGCCTTCCCGGACAGCCCTACTAAAAGAGGGGTCTCCTCTCATATTCCTCCATTTGTAACATTTTTTACAATTAGAGCTTTGTTTACTTAGTTTGGTCTCTCTTCTCTACTAATGCATAAATTCCTAGAGATTAAGACACAATGGCCTGTCTTTCCAAAACCTAGGACAGTGCCTGGCACATTATATGTTAATAAATACTGGTTCCAATGAGGGTGGGGACTACAGCCTATTTCCTTCATCATGTTGCCAAAACCTAACAGAGTGCCTGGCACATGGCTGGTGCTCAAAAATAGACATGAGTAAAAATGCATCATTTAATCCCTTTAATCAGCAGGTTAGAGCACTGAGGTCCCAAGAAGGCAGTCGATCAGCCCAAAGTGTCAAGAGCCAGGACTAGAATCCAGCCCTCCCAACTTCCATCTGCCACACTAAGAAGGGTAGGACTAAAGCTGGTATCTTCTGTGGTGACAAAAGAAAGATTAGATGTTAAACACATTCTGCTGAGAAGAGCTTTACATATAAAAATGCTTGAAGAGGAAGAGAAAAAGAACAAACACTTCCTTACAAAAAAGGTGTCTCCCATTTTGTACCACTTTGAATTCAGCCATGAGTATTCATATGTAGACATACACTTTCATTACACCTACAAGTGGAATGGCTGGGTTGTATGGTAGGTTCGTATGCTTAACTTGTCAAGAACTTGCCAAATCATCTTCTGAAGTGGTACCTTTTTAACGCTCCCACTAGCAACATATAAGAAGCTCCAGTTCTTTCACATCCTAGCCAAAAACTTGGTTTTTAACTTCTAAAGCTTTCTTATTTTAGTCATGCAGTGGGTGTATTATGTTCTCACTGTGGTTTTAACTTGCATTTCACTAAAGACTGATGATGATGAGTATCACTGAATGTGCTCATTCGTCATCCATACATTTTCTTTGATGAAGTAAGTGCATGTTCAAATATTTTACCCATTTTTTAATTGGGTTATATGTCATATAACTGAGTGGTAAGAGTTTGATTTTTTTCTTTAGTTACTATTATTTTAGACACAAATTCCTTGTCGGATATATGTTTTGTAAGTATTTTCTCCAAAGTCTGTGAGTTTCTCCTAAGTTTCTCCAAAGTCCAAAGTTTGCTTCTTCATTTTCTTAACAGTGTATTTTAAAAAGCAAAAGTTTTTAATTTTGATGAACCCTAGCTAGATTTTTTTTTTTTTGGCTCATTGTACTTTAAGAAATTTTGCCAAAATCAGTTTTTAAGATTTTCTCTTATGTTTTCTTTCAGAAGTTTTTAGTTTACGATTTTAAATTTAGGCCTTGACCAATCTCATATCATTTTTTGTGTATGGCAAGAGGTGAGAATTCATGTTCATTTATTTGCATATGAATATCCAATTGTTTCAGCACCTTTTTAGAAAGATGACCTCTTTCCCCTAAAATGCTGTGACCAAAAACCAATTAAACATATATGTATAGTACTATTTCTGGACTATTTTTCATTGATATACATGTCATCTGTGTATCAATATCACTGAATCCTGCCTGATATAGCTTTATAGTAATAAGTCATGAAATCAGACAGCATAACCCTTCCAACTTATTTCTTTCTGTGATTTATTTATATCATTATTTATTTATATATTATATCTTTTTTACTTTCCTTATAATTTTTGAACACATTAGAATAACTTATTCATAAATTTTAGAATAAGTAGACATTATCTGAAGGAAAAAAGAAAGCCTGCTGAGATTCTGATTGGGACTGGAATCCACACATTATTTTGAGGAGTCATGGTGTCTTAACCGTATCGCATTTTCTGATCTATGAACACAGTGTATCTCCATTTATCTAGATCTTTTTAAACTTCTCTGTGATGTTTTAGAGTTTTCAGTGCAAAAATCTTACAATTCTTATCGAATATACCCTATTTCAATATTTTGGATGCTATTATTCTTTTTTAGCTTCCAACTGTATATTGCATAATTAGTTTTTATATATTCATTTATATCCTACAACCTTGCTAAAGTTACTAGTTCCAGTAGTGTTTTTATAAACTCCACAGGATTTTCAACAAAGATAATCAACTCACCAGTGAATAATGACAATTTTACTTCTTTCTTTCTAACCTGGATGCCATTTATTTCTCTATCTTGTCTTACTGAACTGGCTAGAACTTCTAAGAAAACACCTTGCCTAGTTCCTTATATTAGGAGGAAAGTCCTCAGTCTTTCACCATTAAATATGATGTAGGGTATCATTTCTTTCACAAATATCCTTAATCTGGTAGAGAAAGTTCCCTTCTATT